ATATATATATATATATATATATAAAAGCTAAGGACCTCAGCTTCTCCCAGCATGGCTTTTTATAGTTTCTGTCCCTCCTGATGAGAGCATCGCTCACTTAACCTGACACTGTGACAGTCAGCCTCTGTCCCGCTCCTTCTCCCTGTCCTCATTTCTTAGTCACAGAGTCCTGCTGACTGCATTTTGTGGACCTGGTTTAGATCTGCACCCCATCTCCCTCCCCCCTGCCCACTTCAGTCCTTCAGGATTTCTAACCCAGATTATTACAAAAGTAAGAGATAATTGACCTGAAGTATAGAGTGAAAAGTGAATTTCCTTGCTGCCCATGCCCACGGTCAGCCTCCCACTAGACATCCACCATCATCTCTTCCAGACCTATTCTCCCACCATTTCTTGTTATGACCCAGTTTTCTTTTGGAGAATTGCAAATATGAGGCATATTATCAAGATTTTATGTGTGTGTGTGTGTGTGTGTGTGTGTGTGCTACCAAGGGTTTAGAGACCACTGCTTTTTCCTTCAGTGATCATGAAGTTTCACTGATGCTGAAGTGGAGGACCAATTCCTTCTTTTGATGGCTCCATGGGCAAGTATGTAACCATTTGTACAACTTGTCTCCTATTGATGAATACTTAAATTGTGTTCTAATTAGGGCTGGTGGTATAGCTCCGCGGACTAAGCACTTGCTTAGGTAAGCATAGGGGCCAGGGTTCCACCCCTGGCTCTGCATGCTCCACCGGCCCCACTTCCAGTGAGGGAGTCCAGGCGTGGTGGTTCGTGCCTGTAATCCCAGCACTTGGGAGGCAGAAATGAGAAGAATCACTACTAATGTGGGCTGTGTAGTGAGACCCTGCACACACACATACACAAAAACCTAATTACTTATTAGTGCCTAAAAAGTCACCAAAATCCGTGTGGTGTAACACAATAGCCCTTGCATTATGCTGTGGATTCATGCATCCTTTCTGCTCCACTGTCAAAGCCCCATGGGGACTGCACTCATGGCTGCTTTGCTGCACACTTTTGTTCTCCTGCCTGACCTAGGATGGCTCCAAGGCTAAGCTCCACTGGGGCTGTGGTGCTTCCAAGGGCCCCACACACAGTGCCCATGGCTTCCTCCCATTCAGCAGGCTGGCTGACTGCCCACTTTTCTGTCCCAGCCTGGAGGTCCCTTCTGTCACTGTCTGGGTTAGGGTGCTCATCAGCTCACTGAGATTCAGAGAGGATACATAGACCCACCTCTGCCCAAGGCTAAGGAACTTGTAGCCAGATGGTAAAATCACTCAGGTTGTTCCCACCTTCTTCTGGCAGAGATAGACAGCAAGGATGATCACGACTTGAAGGGAAGTTTGTGCAGAGGTGGCAGCAGAAGTCCAGAAGCTACAATGACTTCCCCAAGACCACGCAGCAAACGTTTCCTGCAGGAAAGGCAGGACCCTAGCGACAGTGCTCAGCAAAGGCTGACTCTCCAGGGAGATGGCTGCTGGCTCTGGGCGGCCAGGGCAGAGCTGGGGGAAGGCTGTCTCTTTGTCTCCTTCCAGAGGGCAAAGGTGAGACACTTCTTGCCAATACCTGGCTCACACACATTCCAACTCCCACTCAAGGCAGTGGGGGCTGACCCTTAGCCAGGGTGGGGGCTCAGGAAGAAAAAGAGGGTGGAGAGAGGATGGGAGCTCACTAGGAGGGCTTTAGAGAAGGCTTCCCAGGAGGTGCCCAGGGAGAGACAGGTGGGTCTTCATGTTGGGGCACAGGTAGGGCAGAGGTGCAGGGAGGCAATGGGGGCTCAGCAGGTGGTGGGTCATCCGTGGGGGTACTGGGAGTGAGCAACAGGCCGGGATTTTGAGGCCTGCAGGGTGAGTGGGGCCCTCAGAAGATGTGGGGTCTCCAGAAGGAGTCGGGGCCTCCAATGGAGGAAGAACTCAGGAAGGGCACAAGTGTTCCTGCGCTGCCTGGGACCAGAGGCAGTCTTCAGAGCCCGCGGGGCGACGGCGCCCCCTCCTCCTCCGCCCCCGTGTCACCCCCTCCCGGGCTACGGCGCAGGCGCGAGCCGAACCCGCTTTTGCTCGGCTCCAGCCCTCGCTGCGGTTCTCTCTCGGCGGAGACGGCGAGGCAGATCGGTGAGCTCAGCCCCCACCCCAGGCCACGACCCTTGCCCAGCCTCTCCGGGATTTAGGGGAGCCCATCCTCTAGTCGGGTCCTAAGTCCCGGCTGCGTCCTGCTAGGGCGGCCCCAGGTTCTGGGAGGTGAGGGTCCCCAGGTAGCACGGGGCACAGACAAGTCCCAGGCCGTCGCCCCTCAGCACCTCGGGATTTGATGGGGCGGGCGGGTGGAGGCTTTAGAGGATGAGATCCTCCAGCTTCCTGAAAGCCCATTCCTGTCCCACTCCGCCTCAGATTTCCTCCCGTTAATTTCACTGGGGGAAAGATGGTCAGTCAGAAAGAGGGTTGCTTTGGGGACCTGATGACCCTAGCGGGGAAGGGTTGGTCAAGACAACGGAGCAAGGCAGTATGGGGTGACGGGTTCCCGCTTCCTCGCCTCCGACGGTCCGGTGGCGCAGGCTTCTCCTCGCCTCCTCCGCCGCAGCCCCCCGCCCAGACACGCAGTCTCCTCCTCTTCCCGCCCCCTCCCTCTGCGGGCTGGGGCCCCCTCCCTGCGGTTCCCATGGCAACCCCACCGGCCCTGGCCTCTTCTCCTTCCCCTGAGGGATTGACTTCTTCACCGACGACGAAGACTGGGGGAGGGGCCGAAGGGGTGGCTCTGTCAAGGTCACCTTGCTTCTCCAGTACTGTCAGGACTGAATGATTACAAACGTTTAGGGGACAGAGAAAGCAGTGAATACAAGAAGAGGGACAGATCTGAGTGTGCCCCCCCACCCTTGCTTGGGGCTCTAATTAATGGTCTTTGCCCTGAGGCTGCTCCGACTGTCTCCCCACCACCCCCAACCCCATTCATTTTCCAACTCTGCCTCTGGGGCTGGCGTTACACAGCTCTGCCTTGCCCTGCAGGCTCCATCCCTCCACGCCTTCCGCCTGCGTCATTCTTGAGCTTTAGGCCTTTGCCTTTTCCCATTCTGTCACTTTAATTTTTTTTTCTTTTTTCTCTTCTTTTCTTTGAATTGTAAATGAGGATGGATATGAGCGACCTGTGGACAGGCTTTATTGACAACAATCTTGTGCACTTTTGGTTCTGCGGGGACTCCTAAGAACTACCCAGCCGTCTGTGTGTGCACACCTCTTCCTGTGCTTGTGTGGTGGATCCGTATACCTGTCTGGATGTGTCTGTGCGATGCCTGGTGTGTGCGTGCACGCTCTGGTGTGTTTCCACGTAGGGATTTGGGGGTCCCACCAGACTGGCAGTGAGGGAGACTAGAGATGTCTTACCCTTCAGAGCAAGTGCTGTTCTTTTGTCTGAAGCTGCTCAGAGGGGTTGAGGGCCATCTGGGGGAGGGAAGTAACAAAAGCCCACTCTCCCCGAGCTCCCTGCCCACTGGGATTGTGGTGGGGACACTCACACACCCACCACTCTCGAGGCCTGGGTGTCCCCTGGTAAAAAGAGGGTTTGTTATTTATTCTTTTGGGGGGATCTTTAGCCACCAGTTGGTGGCTAACCCAACTGAGCTACTTCATGCTGAGCTACATCCTCAGCCCTTTTTATTATTTTTTAATTTGAGATGGAGGTCTCACTAAGTCACTAATTTGCCCAGGCTGGGTTTGAACTTGCCATCCTCCTGCCTCAGGCTCCAAGAGTGGTGGGATTACAGGTGTACACCTCTGTGCTCAGCTAATGAGGTTTTCTGAAAAGGTTTCTCTGGACTTTTAACAGCCCTTAAGCCTAAGAGCTAATTCCAAACTTCATCTCCCATAGAGTCCAAATTCCTTGGGGCCTGGCCTTCATAGTGCAGCCCTGTGAAGGAACCTTCCAGGGCTTTTCAGCTTGTGTCAGCCTGATGTCAACCAGGGCTGTTACTCCCAGGAGGGGTTGAAGAGGAGTGAGGCTTTGAGGGGAGAAGGGCCATAACAACCTCTCAATCTAGGCATGGTCGCCACAAGTTCAGGACAGAAATAATAACACAGAAGTTACAATCACAGTCATAACAGCTGCCATTTCTCAGCACCAGATACAGTAGCTGAATGAAACACACACATTATTCATAGCCCTATTTCACAGATGAGGAAACTGAGGCTTAGAGAGGTGAAAGCTTATGTCTGAGATCATACAGCAAGGAAGTGGCGGCCTGGGGAGAATCCACAGTCAGGCTGCGGATCTCACAGTCAGCAGCCACTGGCAGCCTCCAGCATGAACCTGCATAGACTGATACCACAGTGGCACCATGGCTCCTTCTGAGACCTTAGGGCAAGAGGCCAGGCTATGTCGCGCACATGGGACAGTCACCAGGGGCAGCTGTGTGGTTCCTTCAGCAGCATCTTGCCTGCCCCCAGGAACCCAACATGCTGGGCTGCAACCCCTTCTGCGCCTGCAGCCGCGGTGCTACAGTGCTGCAAGGCAAGTGGCCGGGGATCTGGTCCTACCTGCACCTATTCTATGAGGACTGCGCTGGCACAGCTCTCAGCGATGACCCCGAAGCATCCCCACCAGCCCTGTGCCCCCACCAGCCCTGGCCCTCACTGTGCTGGAAGGTAAGGTCAGAGAAACAACTCCTGGGGCTCCTGGGACTGCAGAGGGGACAGGACTGAACTGGATGTTCAGGGGCCCAAAAGTAAAGGGATAGTACAGTAGCTAGGAGTTTTGCACATGTGAGCAACAGAAAGCTGGACTCAAATAGGTTTACACAATAAAGGGAAAATGCTGTTCATCTTCTACAAGAGACGAGACATTCAGTACCTTCAGGAAAATTTGACGCAGCAGTTCAAACAATTACACTGAAGACCTCCCTACTTTTCACTTAATCTTCAGGGTCTCCATGGTACATCGATCCTTATAGCACAACAACGAACTGATTATAGTTTAGAGGGAGGGGCAGGTGATCCAGGAGAGCCAGAAATTAGGCTGGCATGTGCAGGCCACAGCGTGTTTAGCTCGCAGCAGTGTGGCTGAACTCAGCGTGCTGGAGGGAAAAGCAGGAACTGGCAGGCTCTGAGTTCTCCCCTCTTCACTCTTGCCGTGGCTTCCCAGTGCCGTGGCACTCAGGTGCCATCGCAGTGAGGGAAGACCTGAGAGGGACAAAACCACTCTGGTCCATGATATCCAGGAGTTGTCAGCCAACAGCTCCTAAGTTGGGCATAGTTTTCTGCTTGATATTGTAAGAAAACTGAGGCCTCGAGTTCCTCCTGCTTTCAAAGAGCTTTGTTCTAGTGGGGAAGCTGAGTGTAGAGGTGCCAGCCTGCATAACCTCAGGCAAGGCATGCAGAGGATGCCAGAAAGGGCAGCAGGACTCAGCCCTGGGGTGGTTAAAGAAGACCCCCAGGACAAGGCATGTATTTAAACTTTATAAGTATCTTCTTATTCTCAGCTCCTGTGCTAGACTCTTAGGGACAAAGATTTAAGAAGATCTGGCCCTTGCTCCAGAACTTCCAAGCATGGTTATTTAGTCATCAGCCTCAGCTTTTGCCCTGTACCAGGCATAAAGACACAGACTCAGCCCCACCAGTCTTTGCTCTTACAGGCTCTCCACCCAGTGGAACAGGCGGCCCTCACATAGGCAGGACCCCAAACCCGGGTCTGGGGGTATGCCAGGTGGGTGCACCACAGATCCAACTGGGGCAGAGTGTATGCAGTCTCAGCAGGATGCCCACCCCAGCCCCGGATGTTCTGGTTCAAGGGTGAAACTGAGCATGCATAGACTCGGACCTGGCAGAGATGTAGGGGGTAGAAAAGGACAAGGGACTAAGATGAGAGTCATAATGGTGAGAGCCTGAGACTCAGCCTAGTGGGAACTGGACAGGAAATCCAGCAGGAGGCCTCAGGTTCTGCAGAGAACAGCAGGGCTGGTGTCACCAGAGTCCACTGGTGTGTCCTAGGATCCCATCTCTCAGGGTTGAGATCCATCTGGGATCCCAGGTGATCCTGCCTGCCTCTCCCCAGATCACCCTGTCCTCAGGGACCCTGCTTCTGCTGCTGGGGATAGCATCTCTGACCACTGGCTACGCGGTGCCCCCCAAGCTGGAGACTGTCAACAACATACAACTGCCACTGCTGGATGCGCGGGCTGCTGACTACAACAAGGCCCTCAGCTTGTGCCGCCTGGTAGGTACGGCGCTCTGTGGGGCAGCCGGGATCCTGCTGGCCATCTGCCTCTTGTGGGCCGTGTCAGGCTGGCTGCACCCAGACTTCAAGGCGGAGCCGCTGGATGTCGACGTTGATGGCCATGTGCGGGTCTTCAGGGATGAGCCAGAGCAGCAGCTGGCCCCCATCTTTTGTGATGCCAGTGGCCAGTCATGGTTCTCAACCCCCACCAGCTCCTTTGGGCAATCTTCCAAACAGACCATTGAGCCCAAGAGGGACTCTTGAGAGCCTGTGCGTTGGCTCAAGAAGAGCTGGACCCCTTCCTCCTGCCGTCACACCTTGCCCTCCCACTGTCCCCCAGCTTATTCCTCTTAGCAGGGCCCCTTATACCCAAGGCTCCAGAAAACCCAGCTCCAGGTCAAGTCTGCAGCTCAGCTCCCCACACCACTTCCCCAGGGACAGGGCCCAGCTCCTCCCTGTGGCACACCTGCTCAAGCCCCTCTCCCCCCAAGGCCTTTCGGGGCAGAGGACATTCCCATCAACCTGTCACCTCTTTCCTTATCTCTGACCTTGGGTGAGTCCCTCCCCCTTCAGACCATGGGAGCTTGTTCTGGAATTCTGCACCCTCCTTCATTCCTGGGGATGTGAGCTGCCCTCTACACAGGTGGGAAGGGTGAGTTGCTGTCATCCGCCAAGATGAACCCCCCCGCCCCCAGACAGTGTAAAAACATGCACCACACTGTGCTTCCGACCTGCAGTGTGGCCTTGGAGCCCCCCAGCCAGCCATCTCATACAACAATCACCCCATTTGCAGAGCAAGAGGCTGAGGCAGGCCCAGAAGGGTGTGTCCAGAATCAGTCACAGAGCCAGGCTGTGTGCAGGAACTGGCCAGCTCCAGTTCTTTAGCAGGAGCAGAGTCCCCACAACTTCTGGTTCCAGGGAGGATCTCTGGTGAGGACAGATTTGGCCCAGGAGAGGAGCTAGAGGCCTGGTGGCCCCAGGTGGCTACTTTGGACACACATTTAAATGGTCTCCAAGAGCCTGGGGACAGAAGTTGGAAGTCTTTGCCCTCTCAGAGTCTACCCTCTGGACACCCGTGCGGGTAATGACCAAGGGCCATCCAGGACACATAGCCCCTCCACCGCCAGAGCCCTCGCCTCCTCTGCCGCTAGGGGGCGCTCGAGTCCGCCAGAGAGAAACGCTCGCGCAGCCGTTCCCCGCCCGCCCCTGGGACCCGGCCTCAGCCGCCCGCTGCGCCCAGCGCCCTGTGCCCCTCCCCGACCGTCTCACCCACCCCACAAACCGCTCAAATAAACACCTAGAGTCACCAATGCTTCCTCTCTGAGTCACTGCTCCTGGGAGGCGTGCGGGGCATTGAAGTTCTGCATTCTTCCTCATTCTGAGCGCGGAAGAACGAAAGAGATTCTTTCCTTTAGTTTCTGAGCTCGGCACTTAGTGGTCAGAGAAACGAAGGCCACCCGGAGGGGATCCAGATGCTGTCCCCACCGTGCCTGGGAGGAAGGGGGGGGGGAGGAATAGAGGGAAATCCCACCCTGGGTGTGAGGAGGATATGCCGGGGCCAAAGGTGCATCCTTCCCCTCACCGGAAGAGCTGCTGCCCTCACCGTCCGGGTCCCCCAGCTTTCCAGACTTAAATTCACCTCACCTTGGCACCGGAAGGGCCCGGGAAGGACCGTTTTCCCTGGGCTGGCTCCTGAGCGCCATGCATGTATTTCCAACTGCTTTTCCTGGAGGTAGAATATCGACTCAACTATTCCAAACTATCCTCCCATCCCTGCCCTGCTAACCAAGGCAGCGGCGGCTCCACCTTCCTGCTGCTCCACCAAAACCTGGGAGTCCTGGACTCCTTTCTTTCCTCACGCCTGAAACCAGGGGCGCCAGAAGCAACCATCAGAGAGCCAGCGACTGGACCTTGGAAAGATCCTGTCTCCACCACCCCTGGGGCAGGCCGGCTCCTGAGTTTAGCCTCTGTCACAGGTCACGAAGGTTAGGGCATGAGCATCTCCCTGGACCCCACCTTACACATACACACACCCTTATCCTTTTTTTTTTAATGAGCAAAATATATTTATTGGGGGAAAGAAAGTTCCCGTCCTATAGAGGGACAGAAGGGGGCGCCCCAGAGGGTCCCCCCCCCCCATCCTGAAGCAGACAGACTGACCCACTGAAGACACAAGTTAGGTCAAGTTCCTCCTCTGCTCAGAATCCTGAGTTAGGAGCAGGATCCAGTGATGCGCGCCGGCATTTCAGCACCCTAGAGCTGAAGCAAGAGGAGCACTACCGTTTGCAGGCCAGCCTGGGCTACCTTGTCTCAAAAAACCAGACCAAACTACAGTAGGAAAAAATCCACTGATGAATGACAAAATGAGTAAAATTCAGGTGAAACAGGCTAGTGCGAGAGTGGTTGCAGGGTCGAGGCATCTCCTGCAGAAGTGCCATCGTTGTTGCTGCAGATTTATCATCTGGGTGTCAGTTCTTTGATGCTCTATCCGAGGCGAGAGAGCGTCATTTTTCTCTGGATTTTTTTTTTTTTTTTTTTTTTTTGAGACAGGTTCTATGTAGTTCAGGCTGCCTTGAGTTCACTCTGTAGCTCAGGCTGGCCTTGAACTTGCAATGATCTTCCTGCCTCAGCCTCCTGAGTGCTTGGATTACAGGTGTGTACTACCAGCCCTGGCTCTCCTGGAATTGGGTCAGACTGAGCCATTTGCTTCTGACATGTAGAACTTTAAAAGAAAAACAGTGATTTCAACTGGAAACGTCTGGCAGACACCACCCTAACCAAAGGGTTGGGGTTAACATCAGCAGGGCAAGGGTTGATATTAAACCCTGCAAAATGAGGGAGAAGAAGAGTGTGTCAGCTAAGTGGTCTCCTTCCCCCATCCATAACTCCAGCCCAGGCAGGAAATCTATGCTGATGAAGATCTGTCCAGCACTCTACAAACTCATCCAGGGCAGGGGCTGGGGTGTGGCTCAGCGGCAGAGTGCACATTCAGCATGCACCTGATGGCACGCAACCCCAGCCCCGAAGTCCAGGTCACAAGTCCAGGTTCAAGGGAAGCACAAGACCACCTGTGGTTGGAGGAGGTCAAGGTGACATGGATAAAAGAGATACATGGGCCAGCCAGATAGGTCAGTGGACTAAAGCTCCTGCTTAGATAGGTGCAGGGCCTGGGGGTTCGATCCCTGGTGTGCTGTGCCAGCCCAGCCCCTGGGGTGTGTTGAGACAGTGATTGAGACTGGGCATGGTGGTGCGTACCTATATTCCCAGCACTTGGGAGGCTGCAAACAGGACAATTACTAGGACTCAGATCTGTGTAGTGAGACCCTGCAGACTCTGTACTAAATACATTTTTTAAACAAGTGACTTCAGGGGCCAGGGAGATGGCTCAGTAGAATAAGTGCTTGCCTGGCAAGCACAAGGGCCTGAGTTCAATCCTCGGTTCTGCCAATAAATAAATAAATAAATAAGTGACAAAAAAAAAAAAAAAAAAAAAAAGAAAAAAAAAAAAAAAAAAAAAAAAGCTATACAGCAACTATTTCTAAGTCTGTCATTTCAAACTAAAAAATTTCAAGCCAGGTATAGTGGCACATACTTGTATTCCCTGCCCTCTGGAAGTCTGAAGCTGAAGGATTGCAAGTTTAAGCCTAGCCAGGGCAACTGAGCAGTGTCGTGAGATCTTGTCTTAAAAATAAAAAGGGTTGGTTTGTAGTGCAGTGTGAAAACCTGGGCTCAATCCCCAGTACCCCCTCCACACACACACTCTCACAACCATAAGGAGGTGGAGAATTTGAACAACACTACCAGCCGCTCTGACCTAGGTGACATGTGCGGTGGGCTGCAGACAGCAGCAGGGTGCACAGGACCTCAGGCCCTGGTGGCTCCTGATCAGAGGTGTAGATGGAAGATGGGACAGACAGGAGTCCAAGGCGTTCTCCAGGTGCCCTCTGGTGGTGCAGCTCAGCCTTTGACAGCGTCCCTGACCTGGAGGAGGGAAGCCGTTTTTGTCTTCACCCACTTTCTTCTCTTTTAGATAGGGTCATATCTAGAGAGACAGGAGGAATGCTGTTCTGCTCCCCCTCTTTTATGCAAGAGCCAAGTGCTCTGCCCACCACTCCACCCAGGAGCCTGTCCCCACTAGAGGCAATCAGTAACCTCCGGACTCTCCATCTCACATACCTCCTTCCTGCTGACAGGGAGTCAGTCCACTGGGTTCCTGTGTTTTGGTCTCTATAATAGACAAGAACGGCAGTCTCTTGAGACTAAATAACTAATGGGCTTGACACCTGGCACGCGGAAATGCCTTAACTGCTAGCTCTTAGGAAAGAGTGCAGGGGTTATGGGCAGGCCCCACGCCTGTTAGAATTTGAGATGACTCAAAAGAGACCCTGCCCCCTCAAACTCATAGCGCTGTGGAGAGGACAGGCCTGCCGGGAGAAGATGCACTATTCCAGGGTAAGCACAGTGATAGGAGAGCAACATGATGCCATCCCACAGGGGGCAGACACAGAGATTCAGTGAGCTGCATGTGACAGTGTTTTTCTTGGGTGTTTGGGCAGGGCTCTGTCCTCAACATGATGCAGATTTCAATCTTCATACCACCTTGAAGTGAGCAGTCTCCAGTTCCCCATTCGCAGACAGAAACAGGGTGCGCACTGTCCACTCCGCTTGTCTGAGATGGCACTGCTAGCAGAGATGAAATCGGAGCCCAAGCCATGCACTTTCAGAATGCCCAGACTTTCTTGCATGCACCGATGCAGAAATGAACCGAGTCCACAACTTACCAACCCTATGTAGAAGAGGTGCGGTGCAGGCCCACCCCCTCAAATGCCCTGGGGGACTTGGTGGTATCTCCTGCTGTGACAGGTATTGGGAGCAGCCCCTGGGACAGCTCTCCAGGAACAGTGTATGCTGTTGGAAAGGGTCAGCCAGCCATGTGAGTTCACAGGCAAGTGCTCAGGCAAGCACGCCCTGGCCTGGATACATGCCAGCATGCACTCGCATGAGTGCTGCCGGACAGGAAAGTGATCAAAATGAGGTCTATAGACACATGACACACGCACCGGTATTTGTTTGCTCTCCTACTATTCCTTTTTTCTTTTCAGCAGCTACTTTATTGATCACTTACTATGTGCAAACAAATTTAACCTTAGAGAGATGCCATGGTTTTCACGGGCCAAACAGCCAGGAAATGGCAGTGGTGTCTGCCTCCGCCTGCTATGTAGACAGACCCAAGAGTGGACAGATGTGCCATGACGGGACTCCCATGTACACTTGCCCTGTTCTTGTCCAGGCCACATTCTCATGTGAGCTTGTCACAGGTGTGCTCCCTGAATGTGTGGATCGATGCGCCTGGCAACCTTGGCCACCCTCCAAATCTTGGCCTGCGCTGCTGTCAGCAGGGCTGTCAGTTTCCTATCCCAGCCTTGCCAAAGCCAAACTCTGTGTCAGGTCATCTGGGAGCTAGAGAGGAAAAGACCAACAGGATTTCACAAGTGTCTGGCCCAGGACACATGGTCAGGTGGGAGCAGGGAGAGAAACAGGATGTCCTCTGGGCTGCACAACAGGCGGGGTCCAAGGCCAAGCTGGCAGGGGAAGAGAGGTCACTACCTGCCCTTGAATCCAGCTCAGCACATGCATGATGGGATGGGGTGGGGACCAGGAGCAAAGCCAGATCCAGAGGCCGTGAAGGAACAAGCAGGGGACTGAAGTAACTGAGTGAGAAGGAGAGAGGGGAAGAAGGGAGACAGGCAGAGAGGGAGGGAGGGAGGGAGGAAGGAAAGAAGGCAGGCAGGCAGGCTGGCTAAATACATAAATGGTGAAATGAGGGAAAGAGCAAAATTGTTTCCCAACTCTGGAGTGCCTGGCCTAGCCTGGCACAGTGGAGCCCTCAAGACCCACATGGACACAAGACACAGCCCCGCAGGTGCCCAGTGATAGCTGGCCTGACACCAGCTGGCTGGGAGTGAAGAGGACCATGGACACAGAGAGCGTCCAGCCAGGGTAAGTGGGGCTGCAGTGTCTGGGGGAGCAAAACTATGTGAGAGGGTGAGTGTGTGCCCCTGCACACGCCCAGGCACAAGTGAGGCAAGTGCTGTCACTGAGCTCTGTCATTCAGCTTTTTAAACAACAAATAATAATAATGTATAATAAATATTTTATATAAATATAGCATATAAGTAATCAATATTTACATGAATATAATATGTAAATAATAAGTACATAGATACAATATATAAATAATAAATATAAATGTAGGGCTGAGGAGATAGCTCAGCAGTGTAAGGACCTGACTGGCAAATGCAAGGTCCCTGAGTTTGATCCCCAGTACTAAAAAAAAAAAAAAGAACCTAAGTTTATAAGTATATTTTGGGGGCTGGAGAGATGGCTCAGTGGTCTAAAGCACCTACTTGGAACATGCTTGGCAAAGCACAGGGACCACGGTTCGATCCCCCAGCACCATATGCCAGCCAGCCCCGCCCCCTGGTGGGCTGAGCAGGCCACACACACACAATAAATAAATAAATAAATAAAACCATTAAAAAAAAAAGTATATTTTGGATTTTTTGAGGTAGGGTCTTGCTATGTAGTTCAGATTGGCCTTTGACTCACTGGCCTCGCACTTGCAGCAGTCCTCCTGTTTTCAGCCTCCCCCGCACTGGGATTACAGGCAGTGCCACCATGCCAGGTCACAGTGGCTGTTCTCTTGGATAGCAGTGCAGGCTGAGATTTGGAGGGTGGCCAAGGTCACCAGGCACACCGATCCACACATTCAGGGAGCACACCTGTGACAAGCTCACATGAGAATGTGGCCTGGACAAGAGAATGTGGCTTGGGGCCAGGGAGATGGCTCAGTAGAATAAGCGCTTGCCTGGCAAGCACAAAGGTCTGAGTTCAAATCCCTGGTTCCTCAAAAAAAAGGGAATGTGGCCTGCCCCCGGGGGTGGGGCAGGCGCAGCATGTGGTGCCAGGCATTGAACCCCAGTCCCAGCACTTGCCTAAGCAGGTAATATTTATATTTTTATACATTTAATGTATCTATATTTTAAATTTTGAGCTAAGATCTTTCTAAATTGCTCAGGCTGGCCTTGAACTTTTGATCTTCTTGCCTCAGTGTCCCGGATAGCTGGGCTTGCACGCGTGCTCCACCACACCCAGCCAAGGCTGTTTTCATGCTGTGTCAGGCATTGTGCCGGGGATGTCATACCATTTCATTCCGCACATTTTCACTGCATTTCTGCTAGGTGTAGGGGCCCGTGTGAGACACAGGGGCTCTTCCACCTTAATGGGGCAGGAGGGACAGAGAAAAGCAATTTTAGGGAAGGTTTATTTTTTGGTTTTGGTGCCGAGGACCCAACCTAGGAGAATAAGCAATTTAATGCATAGATGACATCATGCCCAACCATTACATCAAAGCAAACAACTGGGGAGAGGGGGCCAATGACAGGGGCAGGGTAGGCACAAGGCTGTATGTGTGGCCAAGGAAGGCCCCTCTGAGAAGGTGACCTTTGACATGAGATTGGAAGAGGAGTCTAAACATGGAGCTGAAGGTCCTGGAAGCCCGGGAGCAGGAAGGAGTGAGGATGACTCATTCAGGTGAGCAGGGTTCTGCCCCAACTTGTTACTGTCCCCACTTTAGAGACAGGAGATCCAGTGCTCAGAGAGGACAGGCAACTGGGTATATCATACAGGTAATTAGAAGTAGTTCAGGGGTTGAGGCTAAAGTCTGTCCTGAACCCAGAACCCAAGCACTTTGCCTTTGACTATAGGTTGCTATAAAGAGACAGACAGACAGACAGACAGACAGACAGACAGACACACACACACACACACACACACACACACACACACACACACACACAAATGCATGCATGCACATATACACCAATATATACCCCTCAGCACACAGGTGTACACACTGGCTCACAGTGTGTACAGACTTGCAACTAAGGGCAGGACCAGCCTAGGCAGCCTCGGATTCTTTATTTTCTTTTATTTATTCATTTATTTAGTCTTTTTGAGACAGGGTCTCACTATGTAGTCCAGGCTGGCCACAAATTTACAGCAATCTTACTGCCTCAGCCTCCCTAGTGCTGGGATTATAGGTGTATGCCTCCACACTCAGCCTTCAAATTCCAACATATTCCCTGATGCCTCGTGGGCCATTAGGAGGGCCAGATGTCACCCAGCCCAGCCTCTTGGAAACTCTGGTCCAAGAGAAGATCAAGTGGCAGGGAGAGGGTGATAGCTTCCTAAGGAAGAGGGGGAGTTCCTAAGGGGTGTGGTGTGTAGAGGTGGAGAGATGATGGAGGTTGGGGAGGACCAAAGAAGCAGAGCGAGCTGGGACTGCTGTCGGGGCACGGTGTCCAGCTGGGGACACCTGCTGAGACAGCACCTCTGCCTCCTCTCATCACCACTGGCCCACCTTAGGAGACAAGTGTCTACTGGCCACCAAAGTAGCTGGAAGTACTGAGTGTGGGCAAACCTCTTTCTCTTCTGCTTTTGGGACTGCAAAGGTGGAAGATTTGGGGCCAGGGAGATAGCTCAGTAGAATAAGCGCTTGCCTGGCAAGCACAGGGGCCTGAGTTCAATCCCTGGTTCCACAAAAAGAAAAAAAAAAAAAAAAAAAAAAAAGATGGAAGATTCTTTCATCAGTTCAAAAGGAAACCCTGTCAAAGCTGTACAAAGACATTTTCATTTCCAGATTAACTGAGGTCAGAAACTGAGAACATTCAGTGCCATGGAAGTGATGGGGAAACAGGTCCCTGGTTGCTCTGCTAGCTCAAGGTAGATAGGTACAGGCTTAATCATAGACAGCTAAGTTAGATAGAAATATTATAGACAGTCAGACAGGGCGGGACCCTTGAAGTCAGTGCAAAGGATGAAAACAAATTACAGCTGTGAGTTAAGGTCAAGGCCACCTACATGCTTTCCTGAAGGATGAACAATAATGATCAATGTTCTGGGCCGGGGAGATAGCTCAGTAGAATAAGTGCTTGCCTGGCAAGCACAGGGTCCTGAGTTCAATCCCTGGTACCGCAAAAATAAAATAAAATAAAATAAAATAAAATAAAATAAAAATGTTCTAAACATGCATCAGTCACCTGGGTGGGGCACCAAGACCTCCTGAGCTATCTCTTCAAGTTTTTGTTCTTTCCATGTACAGTGACTTGCTTCCTTATTGGGTCAGTATTACCTAAGTGACCAGACTTACACTCTGATTGGTTGCCCATAGTTTTGTCCTACTTTGTACCAACCTTGTGCATATCCTTTTTTTTTTTTTTTTTATGTGTTTAGTACAGGGTCTACAGGGTCTTGCAACACAGATCAGACTCATAGTGATCCTCCTATTTTCAGCCTCCCAAGGGCTGGGATTACAGGTGTACAGCACCACACCCAGTCTCAGTTACGTCTCAGCGCGCCCAGGGGCAGGGCCAGTATGGCACACCGGGATTGAACCCTGGTCCTTATGCCTGCCTAAGCAGGTGCTTTAGTCCTCTGAGCTATCTGGCCGGCCCACAACCTTGTGGGTTTATTTATTTATTTATTGCAGAACCAGAGTTTGAACTCAGGCCCCTTTGCTTAACAGGCAAGTGCTTATTCCACTGAGCCATCTCCCTGGCCACTTATTTTTTATTCTTTTGGTGGAACTGGGGGTTGAACCTTGTGGTTTTACTCTATCAAACTTCCTTTCAAGGGCTGGAGAGATAGAATAAGCACTTGCCTGGCAAGTGTAAGGTCCTGAGTTCAATCCCCGGTACCTTAAAGAAACAAAAAACAACTTCCTTTGAGAAGTGGGCTCATGGGCACACACTTTCTAGGTCCCCTCCTGTCTCTCTCAGGCAAGAGCTGTCTCCTGCAATCAATTTTCTGCTCTGAAACTCCATTGTTCCTTACAATTGATTCTTCGATTTTGGGGAACATGAACTCAGCATGTCAACATCTAGGGGGTCAGAAGTTATAGTATTTTCCCCCATCTCATGTGGAGGTGCTGACATCATTTCAAATCACCTTCATGAAGAGTTTGGAGAGATTCCTAGAAAAACGCAAACCATGAATCTCTGACTCAGCCACTCTGATTGCAGAACTGAGCTCAGGGCTGCTCTTTCATTCTCTCTCAGACCTCAGGCAGGTACTGCAGCACTGGTTATTACAGAAAAAAAGATGAAATCTTGCAGATCCCCAGACTCTGAAAACACCCAAAATCTTTTCTCAGATGCCTCTAGGACTCTGCCCACTGAGGTGCAAGACAGCCAGGGAACTTGGACCACTAGTGCTTATTAACATCTTCCTAATGTCCCCTGCCTTCTTTCAGTCCCTATAAAGAAGCCCACTTTGCTTTGTTCCCTACAGACAGCCTTTTTGCCCTCTGTCTGCCTGCACCCAGATACTAAACCGTATGCCGTGTTGTTCTCATAAAAGCCTGTTGAAGGGTCTCTGCCTTGTGCCATTCCTTACACAGTGCACACTCCCCAGACCTCACAATGGGACACACTCAGCTGCTGCTCACCAAGCCCTCACCATGTGCCAGGCTGCAGCAGGGGCTGGAGACTCACTGGGCACCAAGCCAGCAGGTGCCTGTCTTGGCAGAAGTTAGCAGTAAGAAGTGGAGACAAGAGCCGGGGAGATGGCTCAGTAGAATAAGCTCTTCCCTGGTTAACACAAGGGTCTGAGTTCAATCCCCAGTTCAAAAAAAAAAAAAAAAAAAGTGGAGACAGACACTAAACAAAATTTGAAAACATCCATGTAATAAACAGTAGGGGTCCGAGTCCCCTGGTGATCACCCAATAGAACTTTGCAGAGGCAAGAGATTTAATATACCTGGGTGCAGGTAGACAAAGGGCAAAATGACCATTTGTGGGGAACAAAGAAAAGCAGTGCTTTTATAGGGCTTGGAAAGGGGATTAAGTGAGGAGACCAGGCAAAGTATCCTGTAAGGTGTCAGGCAGGGGCCTCGTGTGACGACGTGTGAGAAAACATCAGTGGCCAAAGTTCCCAGGGCA